TATATACATATATATCCCTACCAAGACAGGGCCAGAATTCTCTATAATGTAATCCTTATGCAATAGTGTTCTGTGTATAGCTGGCCCACCCAATCGTGATTCATGATGCATATACACGTCATACGTCCTTACATCATAACGGCTAAAGGTGTGCCTGTCCTTAAAAGGATATATTAGGACCCGACTGCTGGACGCTGCTTTTCCTCTCAAAATAACTCAAGGCACAAAGATGAATGTTCCCCTCACATAAAGTCAATTGCTTTCTTGCTTGCTTCACACATACTGATGATGGTTGTCAACAAAATCTAAATAAAGATATGAAATACTAGTACTTCACATTGACAGATGCATTTAATACACTTTCATCACATCTGCATCAGACACATGTATATCACAGATATAATGAAACACTTTACATACAACTCTAGCAGTAAAGAGATTAATTTTAATTCAGGCCTTTTTGAAAAAATTGAGAACAAAATCATCCCAAGTAATTACTTATTGTATAAGAAAAGTATGAAATGATGCATAGATATGATAGAAATATGTATACAGTTATATATATATACACATAGATGCAAATGTATTTTTGTTTATGTAAATGGACTTATAGATTGTTGGGATTGCACATCGTTGCACGGGTATCACAAACATAATAATTGTTAGTCAATTTATACATAGGAACTTATAGTGTTAATAGCATATATCATTTAGTGTATGTTAATACATAACATAGATAACAAAATTATTTCCTTGAGTGAACTTTCATTTACCTTTTAATACAGATCTTATATAGGATTTCACATGAAGAATATGAAGTGTCTGCCTGTAACTGTAATAACAAAATTATGAAAGATGTTACAAAACACATCAATAAATTGGCCAATGACCTCCATATAAGTGGCTGTATTGGAGAGCAGTTTTTTGAAACACTGTGAACATTAGTGGTTGTCTTTTGACTGCCCCGTAGTGACAATGTCTATAAAAATGAAAATACAAAACACAAAATTACACAAACAAAATCATATGAAACATAAGTCAAAAAAGAGAACCTTCAAACACTATGATGCATCTGCCACAAAAATGTCAGGAGGTAGTCTACCTCGTGGATCATTTTTTTTCATTCATAATTCTCATCTGCCCTTGAAACTTCTATGGGAGAAGGTATATCTACAGAACTCATACATGTTAGGCCTGTGACATTTATGTACACCAGAGTATTCTTTCTTTCCCAGATAATGCCTCCTTGACTCTGACTTTGCATACCTGCACATAATCACCAAGTCATATTTCTTGGAGAATCCTCAAGCACATTGCTCCTTTGCATGTACTCTCTTGTGTAGTGCTAGAATATAATTTAGAGATAAGGTTTTTTTGGAAACCAAACATAAATGGCTTATCCTCTGCATGTTCTGCACTCTGATCCACTAAGACAGACTTACCTGAGAAGTGTTTATTGCAAATCTTATAGCTACATGGTTTCTCCTTTGCATGTACTCTCAAGTGCACTACTGGATTATATTTCTGAGAGAAGGATTTTTTGCAAATGTCAGAGATATCTAGCTTCTCTTTTGTATGTATTCATATGTGCTTTAGTAAATAAATTTTATCTGAGAAGCCTTTTATTGCAAATCTCACAGCTATATAGTTTTTCCTTTGTATGTACTCTCATATGCTTTACAAGATGACCTTTTTGAGAGAAGGCTTTTTTGCAAATGTCACAGATTTATGGTTTCTCCTTTGTATGCACTCTCATGTGCCTTACAAGATGACTTTTCTCTGAGAAAGCTTTTTTGCAAATCTCACAGCTATATGGTTTCTCCTTTGTATGTACCCTCAAATGCCTTATCAGAGAACCTTTCTCAGAGAAAGCTTTTTTGCAAATGTCACATATATATGGTTTCTCCTTTGTATGTACTCTCGTGTGCACTTCTAGATAACATTTCCGAGAGAAACCTTTATTGCAAATCTCACAACCATATGGTTTCTCCTTTGTATGTATTACCATGTGTCTCACTAAGCTAAATCTATTTGAGAAGTCTTTATTGCAAATCTCACAGCTATATGGTTTCTCCTTTGTATGTACTCTCGTGTGCACTTCTAGATAACATTTCTGAGAGAAACCTTTATTGCAAATGTCACAGATATATGGTTTCTCCTTTGTATGTACTCTCATGTGCTTTACCAGAGAACCTTTCTCAGGGAATGCTTTATTGCAAATCTCACAGATATATGGTTTCTCCTTTGTATGTATTCTCATGTGCTTTACCAGAGAACCTTTCTCAGAAAAGGCTTTTTTGCAAATCTCACAGATATATGGTTTCTCCTTTGTATGTACTCTTATGTGTCTCACTAAGTCAGATTTATATGAGAAGTCTTTATAGCAAATGTCACAGATAAATGGTTTCTCCTTTGTATGTACTCTTATGTGTCTCACAAATTCAGATTTATATGAGAAGTCTTTATAGCAAATGTCACAGATATATGGTTTCTCCTTTGTATGTACTCTCAAGTGTACTACTAGATGACATTTCAAAGTGAATGCTTTGCTGCAAATTTCACAGCTGTATGGCTTCTCTTTTGTGTGTCCTCTGATCCTCTGATCCTCTTCTGATAAATATTTTTTCTCCTTCACCTCGGTCACAATTGGTACTCTCAAAAATGTATTGCAATCCTCAATAATATCACATGAGACTTTTACATTTGCTTCATTTTCAAGGTCTTGAAGATCCCTGAAGGAAAGAAATTCATTTTTCACTTTCACTTCACTCACTTCATCTGCATGATCATACACTTCTTCCTTAATTTCCATCTTTATTTCTTCGGTGACACCTTCACTGAGTTCTTCTTTGATACGGACTCCTGTGCCAAATATTTCCTTGTCCATGAGTGGGGCCAAAGGAATCTGGTCGGGGAGAATACTCATTGTTGGCCTGTGAATGGAAAAACAGAACAAAGATAACAGTACCCATAACATAGCTAATCATTTGCATATACAAATTATCATATATAATGACATGTGTAATTATTAACCTCTCAAGCGTCACCCTCTGTGATTGTGGGTGCTTCCGTAGCCTCACCCTCTCTTATCTTCAGGAGTGATTTTCTTTGCGATCATTCAATTCTTATTCATATTCCTTTTAAAATTCTTATATCTTTTGATCATTTATTTATCCATTCTTACATAAATATAGCTATTTAATTAATGCTGAAATAAATAATTTTGGGGGGAAAATTTTATTCCTTGATTTCTTTTTTTTCCAGAAGACAAAAAAATATTTCAAGGATCAGACAGTATAAAAAGAAAAAAATCCAACATAGTAATAGTAATTATCTATCTTTTTCTAATATCTGAAACAATGACGGAAAAAAAAAAAAAAAAAAAAAAAAAAAATATATATATATATATATATATATATATAATATATATATATATATATATATATATATATATATATATATATATATATATATATATATATATATATCCAACAAACATAAATTAGGCAAAAGCTGCAGCAAACTTCCAAATGTTCTCAGAATGTGGTGGCCAGATGATATTCCTATGGGTTTCTATAGGAGTAAACATTATGTGCAGTCAGAGAATACTTCACAAGGGCTTTTAAAGTTGAGAACTGTATATGCCATTGAGTGCAATATGTGAATAAAATGCATAATTAGTGTACGTCGTGGGAGACCCTTAGGGGAGCCATCGCGCTCGAGAACGAAGTTCATCAGTTATGATCAGATATTCGTGATTTTTTAATATATTATACATACATATAAATAAGTGATAAACGCCATGTTTCATATCATATTAATGAAAAACAAGGTTTTGAACAATTACAAACTCTTTAAAATTGCACTTATCCATTGAACAAACTTATTGAAAAAATTGCCACCTGTAGTCTATAGCAATACCTAAAACTTGCAAAGACCGGAGTTTTAAATTTCGTTTTAGTTTAGTGGGAATATATTTTTTTCTAAATGTTCAGTCTTATGAATATCACGATAATATATGAGCTATTATTACCTAAAATGAAAATTTTCTCTAAGAAAACCATTGCAAATATATTCAGCTTTTAAATTATCCAAACCTCATTAGAATCGCCCAAGTATTTATGGATAAATTTGTAAAATTCTGACAAATGTTGACAAAAGTGTAGTTTTGAGATAACAGGCTCCAAAATTTAGGAAACTTTTCCCTCGATTTTTTTTTCTTTTTTCTTTAATTTATCTATTTATTTATTTTTTTTTTTCAGTATTATTTTTTTTTTTTAGAATTCAAATCTCTGCGGCAATCTTGCTGCACTCTATGGCATTCACAAGGTATTCTGAAGTGTTGCTGGTACATTGTCCCCTCCTTTTGCAAAGTATTAATGGTAATAACTGCACATAATTGTGGAATTATCGCATGTCACCACAGGCTTTCCAGTACCTAACCTGACCACGTGAGGTATTTAAATGTATAAACAACTACTGCAGCTGTGATTAAGAAGTATTTCTGATCATATTACGTTTATTAAATACTAAAATAACATCAACAATTAGTATTGTCCCCTTACTGTGTTATATGGGCCTATTCTGCAATATGCTGTCATGGAGGTAGGAGCTGGCAACCTTTCTCTCTAATTTTCTGGTGGAGTTTTGTCTTCCAGAGTCCCAGTCTTGATGATCAGCTGATGGGTAAACAGAGTTGCCAGCTAACTTCCAGAGAATGCCAAAATAACCCCCCCACCCCCCAAAAAAAAATGTTTGTAGAGTATATTTTTATGGACGCGAAAATGTAAACATCAGAGCGGGAGGTGGGGGGTCAGAGATTTAGTTATAACTCCTTTAACTTTACATATTTAGCAAAAATATTACATCAAGAGATTGCCAAAGCCCACTAGATTACAGGAGATTTTTTTCTTTTTTTTTTCTTTTTTCTTTTTTCTTTTTTGTCGCGACAGCCCCCTTAACAGGTTAATAACAATAATTATAATAAAGCAAATAAATAAAATACTTCTTTCCTCACTGGCCATAACCTGTTAGCCTCGAGCATAACCTTTCACAGCCTTAGCCACCAACTTAATCCACAATCTGAGATACAAATATTTGTAATCTCTAACTACATTTACTTTCTTTAGTATTATATCTATACACTGACACAAACACAAAGTGCAATTACATAATGTGAAACATTTCAAGTAAAAAACTAAAATCTAAACAAGAGTGAAGACTTGAAAATTTTGAAATATATAGACACTTGTTTCAAACACTTTATCTGAAAAAAAAAAAAAAAAAATGAAGATGTCATGATGTCAAAACGTGCTTTCATAGTGCATTGTTTAATCTCATTTGGCAACCTTAAATATAATAAAAAAAAAAAAAAAAAAATATAATATATTATATATATATATATATATATATATATATATATATATATATATATATATATATATATTATATTTGGCTGCAAACAAACAAAGAATATCTTTAGGATCCTATGAAATTGAAAATATACCCAATGTTGCTCAATATCCTCTGTCATATTGCTGTCTAGTTTTCACACTTTGTCATCTATTACTTGTAAGACTTTCATTTAATAGAAAAATCTCTTCATTCACCTTCCACTTAAGCATGAACTGGTATACCATGAGAATCACAAGTAAATCAAAATGATTTTCTGGTTTCAATAAAGGCAAAATTATGTATTGGAGACATAGCCTTCTAAAGATTCTAAAAGGCTGTATGTATCTTATATCTCACCCAAAGTCCATGATTTTCTTGTCTTACTCATCATCCATCATATAGAGAGAACATACTCAAAATCAGCAAAATATTTCAGCTACTAGTGCTATTCTTAAAAAGATTACTCATCACAAGTCCCACATCCAACACCACCTAAAAATTGTCTTTGTGGCTTTGACAATCTAATTTTCATAATCTCACTGCAGGGTGTCGTGAGAACAGACGTTCATTGGAAATATGTTTTGTTTTACCAGTAGTGGGCATCTCTTTCCTAATCTTTAATGGTTAATGTTTGAAACAAATAAATGTGTTAGACATCAAAGTCATATAGAGTCCTAATCTTTAATGGTTAATGTTTGAAACAAATAAATGTGTTAGACATCAAAGTCATATTGTGTCGGAGAGGGTAATGAGAGTTAAAGATTAGGATAAAATGTGTTAAATGTCAAAGATTAGATAGTACAAGTGCATCTGCTAAAGATTATACATGGTTATATCTTATTTCTTTCCTGAAATAAAAGTAACTGCATATGTATCATATATATATAGGAATGTATATATATATGTATACATACATATATAGTATATATACATATATATCATATAATGTCTATAAGTATGTATATATATTCATAAATATGAATACCAAAATATGTATATACATATAAATACATGTACATATACAAATATGTATATCTACATATAACTATATATGTATGTATATATATATATATATATATATATATATATATATATATATATATATATATATATATAATATATATATATATATATATATATATATTATATATATATATATATATAATAATATATGTATATATATAATATATATATATATATATATATATATATATGTATACATTATATATATAATATAAGTATGTATATATATATTGTGTGTATATATATGTATGCATAACTCCATAACTGCAGATTTACCGATTACCCAACCTAATATGAAGCAGAGACATAAATACAGAGACATAAATACATACACATACAAATACATATATGTGTGTGTGTGTGTCTGTGTATGTTTACACAAATGCACACATGTATATATATATATATATATATATATATATATATATATATATATATATATACAAGTACATTTAAACACAATTACATAACTGCACATTTACCCACAGCCATAAAAAACAGCTCAACCCATTCTTCCATGATCTTACCTTATGGATTTATACACTATCTGTACTGCAAAATTTCTAGAAGCTGAGTGACAGCATGTGCCTTCCCTTGGGTCTCAATATGGGAGGCTCCTCGCTCAAGGGAACCCTGGCTTCACTGGACAGGAGAGGCGAGGGCAGAGTAAGGGAACTTCGACTTCTCCCACGTAGTCTCCTGTAAGAAGAATGCTAAAACATTATTCTAGTCATTTTTTCAGTGTTGACATAAACATTATAGCTCTATAGTAAATAAATAATAAAATGACAGCATTGAACAAACAATAAAAGCTCAAATAAGAAATATTTTCAAGACATTATATATCAACAATTATCATAATTAAGGTAACAAAAGTAATGGAAATGTTAATAATTATCATAATTATCCTGATGACAGAAATGAAAATAATAATAATAAAAGTGATAATAATCTGTACAATAAAGGAGTTTGAAATGTTTAGGAATTCAGATAAACATCCTTTTGTTACCGAGACCGATTTCCTGCACGAGGTAGCAACCAGCCAGGAACAAATGCTGGAAATGTGCTTCCACCACGGCCTCTTCCGTCAGGAGAGAGCCTGCGGCAGGTACGGGCAGCCAGCACGCCTGGACGTGAAGAAAAGGTTCAGGAGCACACTCCCTACTATCAGCGGCATCTATCAATCAGGTTAGTACCTTAAAAATCCTAGGTTAAAGTAGGTTATCGGCTCCGCATCTAGTTTGTGTGCGCTCTATCCTGCCGTGAATATGTGGGGGATATTTTGTTTCCTTGGCAGGGGTGAATAACCATGGTTATTTCAACTATGGGTTATGTCATTAGGGTAATTTTCTCTATTACGTCTGCCATTCCAACATTATCGCCCCTGCTAAGTTTGCCACTAATGGGGGGTTTTCGTGCAATAAAACCTTCATATTTGCATTGTATAGAGTGAGAGGAATCCAACAATATCAAAATCGTTGATATCGAAGCGGCGAAGGTAATATAGAAAATTACCAAATACCCAATATATGAACCTTCATAAAGTACATAATCATTAGAAACTAGATAAATGAGAATTTAATTCATAAATGCCAGACTTGTAATTCAAGCACACATATTACCTTCATTGCACTTAACACTAGTAAATGCCAACAATCTCCTCAAAATACTTTGTTCATGACTTTTAATCAAATAATATATCAATCCCAACTTCATATTGCAAAAATAATTGTAGAAGATTGTTCACCTTTGACAGTGATTGTAGGAAGCGTATTCTGGATAATTAACATATTATCAAGTTCTATTGTCTTCTGCTTTTTCACATAATATCCAATTATCTCTAGATTCGGCATTCACTCCTTTCTTTACTTACAATCCTTTCAATCTCATGCTTACAAAGCTTCAAAATATCAACTATTTTTTTTCACTCTTTCCTCCTTGACGTCTACATCAGTTATTCTACACAAGGTCTATATAAGTACAGGTCTCGTCACTTCAGAGTTCTGCGCAGCTTTGGGTGATAAGGCCTATGACGTCACTTGGAGAGAGCTGAGAGCAAGGGGGGCGGGGGGAATTAGAGCATGGTAGGGTGGAAGGAGATAATAGAAAACGGTGGTAAATGAGCTGATACTTAAGTAATTTTAGATGTCGGCACATTGAACGATTTGGGATTTACAGGCGATGATTATCAGCGATGTGCCCCACCAATTTTATTGAAATTTAAGGGGGGGGGACCCAGGAAAATTTTTTTTAAAAAAAAAAAAAAACCCCCAGGGGGCGGATGGGAAAACAAACTCAAATGTTTTTTGCTGAATTTATGATATAAACAAAATCATTACAACAATAACTAATAATAATGTTAATAATAATAATAATAATGGCATATACGTAAAAACATAATAACATAAATGTACCATTATGTGTCCATGCTGACTGCATTTGCTACATCTCATTTTATTCTTACATGTAACAATCCCATGTCCGTATCTCAGACAATTGTAGCATTTTATTATTGGGAAAGTATATTGTCTAACTTTGTAGCTTGTGTGTCCTATGGCTATTCTTTCTGGTAGAAATCCACTGAAAGTTATTCTTAGGGATTTTGTTGCATACCATTTCTCTGGCTATTTTTATCTTTATTTAGTTTTTTTAGTCTTATTACTTCTATTATTTCGTTAGTTGTGTTACCCAGTGTTCTTATTTTTTCTTTTATGTTTTCAATTTTCAGCTCAGGTTCTACTGGATATATTGTTCCATATGAACAATTAGCATTTTTGTTTGAGGTTGGCTGTTTGCAGGTTATGTTCCATTCTCCAAGTTTTTTTTATTTCTCTGAGGGGTTTTATTTTACTTAAATCATTGATTTCGAATCTTAGAGCCTTTCCTGTTCCTAGTACTCTAAGGGAATCTTCTATGATGTATTTATGAAATTCAGATGTATTTAAGGCTTTTGTTAATTTAATGGGATTGTTGAAGTTTGTTGTTGTTTTATCATCTATCAATTGTATAAGTATTACAGGGTTTTCTTGTCCTACCTTCATATTTGTTGTTTTTCTTGCTAGTTGTTGGGTGTTGTTCTTCCGGCTTTCTCCAACCGGCTTTTTTGATTTTTGGTTGTTTTGAAATTGGGTTTTCTTCGTTATCACTTTCTAATTCTTCTCTTGTTCTCTTTGTTTGAATTTCTTGGTCCATAAGTTGTACTAGTTCAGGATCTTCTCCTGGGTCGGGATTTAGATCAGTGTCCATAAGTATAAAGTCTTTTTACACTTCACTCCGTATTCGATGTTCACTCTATGGAGTTTCAATCGGTTCCACAGAGATATTCTTCTTCTTCTTCTTTCTTCTTTTATAGGGTTTTAGACTTTTGCATAGTCTATATCCCCTGGATCTTTTTTTCTTTTCTATTCTTTCTTTTATATGATCTCTGTTAGTTTGGTTTTTCTTAGAAAGATTTTGGTGTGTCTAAGAGTATAAAACTTTTCTGTTGGGGAGAGATCTGCACCTGTGAATAATAAGTTTATGTTAGGGTTGATTACTTTGATTTTTCTTAAGGCTTCTTTCAATTTTGTTCTGCTGGAGTGGAATCTTGGACAGTGTAGGATTAAGTGTTCTATATCTTCTTCTTGATTATGACACCATCTACAGTAAGGGTCATTTGTTATTTTCATTCTATGTAGGTGTTTATTTAGTCTTGTGTGCTTAGTTATTATTCTAGTTATGCAGACATCTAATTTTCTATTTTTGGATCTTAACCATGGCTGCGGTTCTGTGTTCTGCAATAGATAATTCTTTGTGTTAAGAATTGTATTTAACTGAGTTTTCCAGTTTCTCTGTTTTTTTTTTTCATCTGTTTTCTGTTTTTTTGTGTCTTCATGTATGGTTATGGGATATCTTATTTTGTGTGCTTTTTTAGCTGCTTGATCTACTATTTCATTTCCCTTTATGTTTTTATGTGAAGGTATCCACTGTAACATTATTATTTGATTTTGATTTACCATTGTATATATCAATTCTTGTATTTCAAAAGTCATACTTTTAGAATTCTTAGGTTTCGGGTTAGATATTAGTTGAAGTGCAGATTTAGAATCTGTAAATAGTACTGATTTTGATAATTTGTTATTTTGTATGTATTTTAGCCCTTGTTTTATTGCAAAGAGTTCTGCTTCTATTATTTCTGTATTGTTTGGTAGTTTCCATATTGTTGTTATATTGTTATCTTGTATGTATATTGCTGCTGATGTGGAATCGTTGTTTATTTCGAGCCATCTGTGAATAATTTTTTATAATTTCGATATCGTGTGTTTTCTAACATTATATATTGTGCTCTTATTATTTGTTCTGGGATATTTTTTGTTTGCTCATCTAAGAATTTTGTTTCTATATTTTTTGTAATATCAAACCAAGGTGGAATAGGGTTATGTTTGACATTGTTTTTATCTTTATTTTCACTTGCAATTCTTTGTTTGTTTCTATTATTCTATGGATTAAGTTATTTTTATCCTTTTGAGGGTTATATTCTTTTATATTTTCTGTTAACATTTTTTTTATTTGTGTATTTTCTTTTTTTAGTATTTTTAACATTTGGGTGAATTCTTTTTCTTTTAGTTTATTTTTGATCGACATTTTATTTGTTAGGGCATAGAGTGCATTTATTGGAGTGGTCTTTAAACATCCAGTGGCTATTCTCAAAGCTCCATTTTGAACTGTTTCAATTTTTTTTATTTCTGTGTCATTTGCTGTTCCATAAATTGTTATACCATATTCTATTTTTGGTTTTATGTAGATATCATAGAATTTTATCATTGTCTCTCTGTTTGCTCCCCATGTTGTTGTTGATAATTTTTTCATTATGTTTATTCTATTTGTACATCTAATTTTCAAGTTATTAATATGGTTTTTCCACTTTAGTTTTGGTGCGTCGAATTCGAGTCCTAGGATTGTATGTTTATTTGTGAATTTTAGTTCTTCATTATTTATTTTTATTATTGGTATTTGTCTTATTCTTTTTTTTGTAAAGCACATTACTTTGCTTTTAGTTAAATTTAATTTAAGCTCCCAGTCGTTAGCCCATTTTACTATTTTATTTAATCCTACTTCTAGATTGATTTTTGCTTCTTCTAGATTTTCATTTATTGTTATTATATTTATGTCATCTGCATATATTATTTTGTTGGTTTTTACTGTTAGATTTAGATCTGACATCATTATGTTGAATAGTAATGGACTTAATGGAGATCCTTGTGGAAGTCCTTTACTTATTCCTCCTTCCTCGGATTTTTGGTTTCCTATTATTATTTGGTAGGATCTATTATTTAAAAAATTAGATATCCATCTGAGAGGAGTACCCGTTATACCTAGTTTAGCTGCTTTTATTATTATTGCATCGTGGTTTACTTTGTCAAAAGCTTTTTCTAAATCTAGAGATGCTATTAGGGCATATTTTTTCTCTTTATAAGCTTTTTTAATATGAAAATCGATTATTTGTAATGTATCTATTGTTGAGCTATTGGGTCTGAAACCTGTTATGTCTTGACTTAGTTTGTTATTTTTTTCAAGCCACCATATTAGTCTATTGTTGATTATGCTTTCCAGCATTTTCCCTATACATGAGATTCTGCTTATGAATCTATATGATTTTTTATTTGCTGGATCTTTATCCGGTTTTAATATCGGATTTACAAGTGATTTCTTGAATTCTATAGGATATTCTCCTTTTATCCACAACTGATTATAGATGTTTAAAATTTTTTCCAGTAGGTTATTTGGGATATTTTTATAAAATTCATAAGGGATACTGTCTGGGCCACAAGCTTTATTATTTTTTGTCTTTTTTATTACAGAAATTAATTCTTTTAATGTTATCTCCTTTTTTAATCCGTTCGTACTTGGCAATTCTATTAAACTTTTAAATTCTGATTTTGTTATTAAGCATTTTGTTTTTGTGTTTATTATACTTTGGAATTCTTCTTTTAAGAGTTTTAATTTCTTTTTTGTTTCTTGTATTGGCTGATCATTATCTATTAGCGGGTAATTATTTATTCTATTACTGCCTGAAAGTTTCTTAATAAAATTCCATATTTTTTTGGTTGGGGTTCTAAAATCTAATGAGTGGCAGAAATTTGACCAACTTGTTCTTTTTTCCTTTTCTATTGTATCTCTTGCTATTATTTGAAGTTTTTTGTATTCTATTCTGTTTTTTTCATTAGGATTTTTTCTCCATTTATTGAATGATTTGTTTCTTTGTTTTATACTTCTTTACATTTTTTATTCCACCATGGTTTTGTTGGTTTATTTTTACTATTATCATTATTTAATCTGAAATGTTTCATCCCTATGTTTTTTATTATTTCTGTTATTTCGTTCAGTGATTTTATATTGTCCACATCTATTTTTTGTATTTCTTCTTTAAATTTTATCCATCCTTCTTCATTGAATTTCCATTTTTCCTCTTTAACTATTGTTTCTCTATTGTGATTAATGTCTCTTATTATGATTGGAAGGTGATCGCTTCCTCCATATATTTTTGCTTCTACTTCTAATTTACTCAGTTCTGGGTGCCCAGAACTAGGTCTATTGTAGACCCTTTACCTGTTTTCGGATCTATTCTAGTAATTTGTCCTTTTGGAGTTAACATCAGTATGTTATTTTGATTTATTAAATTAAACAAGTTTATTCCAGTGATATTTGTTATATTTTGGTTTGTTTTTGAATTCCATAGCGGATGATGGGCATTAAAATCTCCTATTATGAGTTTTGGTTTTCTATTTGGTTTATGTAGTGTTCCATATCTTTTTGATTTACTTTGTTACATGGGTTGTATATTAAAAGTAAGTGTAGCCATCCTCTTTTATAGCTAATCTTTATAGCTAATGTTTCGATGTTTTTATTTTGTAATTCATTTAGATTAATCTTCTTGTATTGTATATCATTTTTTATACAAATTGCTAAGCCGCCTCCCCTTTGTTCTATTCTATCATTTCTTATGATATCATAATCTTTTATATCAAATTTGTCA